GGGTTTGTTTGTTTGAGATAGAGCCTCCCTTTATAATTCACTATGTAACCCAGGCTGGCTTCAAACTCTATGATCCTCTTGCCTCAGCCTCCTGGGTGCGGGGGTTACAGACATGCACCACCAAGCTCAGTTTTGTTTTTTTTTTAAAGTAGTATTATGGATGAAGCCTCAGGCCTTACTAGGCCAGCGCTGCCACTGAGCTTTTCCCCCTGACCTCAACTACTTTGGCATTATTACATATAGAGCCTTTGGTCCATAGTCTGCCTCTGGAACTGAAGGAAACTTGGAAGAGTAGCTGTGGTCTCCTGTTGACATCTCTTATCTCAACACCGGTGTCTTCTGCAGGCTTTTAACCAGGTTCGAGTTACTGTTGGGCACCCAGTGGTTCAGTCTGGGAGTATCCGAGATTGGAAACAGTTGCAGTGTGGGTTCCCAGGGAAAGACTTCTGAGTGTGCAGATGACCAAAGCGCTCTTGCTGTGCAGAGAAGCAGCCGGTGCTGACAGGTGCTGACAGACTAGAAACCCAGTTTGGTCTGAGCAGAGCATCGCTGCTCATTGACCTTCTGCCACCCCCAGATGACAACCCTCAGCATTTTGGAATCATTCCTCCCAGTCTCTTATTTCCTAGCCATGGACCTGTCGTCAGAGGAGAGGCAGCCCTGTGCTCTCCCCTGCTGTCATTGACTTAGTGAGGAATCTTTCTCGGTGACAGGGAGCCGGGGTCGCTGTTTCTCAGCTCAAGCTCCCTCTAGTGCCCAGAACCCGGGCTGGAGGCTCCGTGTCCCGCGCAGCCAGCGAGGCAGCTGCCACACCGCAGGGCGAAGGGGCGCGCGATCGAAGGGCGGCGCGGGCGCAGGAGTGCGGTTGCCACTGTCCCGCGCCAGGACGGGGCGGCCCCTGAGCGGCTCGGATCCGAGATGGGCTCGCCGCACAACTCCCGGAAAAGCTCGGGCGAGGACCCGAAGGGGATGGTCGTGGTCCCCTTCAGAGAACACTGGCCCCGTAGGCTGCCATGGGCCACCGTGGTGAAAGCCATGGGCCGCTTCAAGATGTCGCTCCCGGCGCTGCGCCGAGACCGGCTGCTGGCCTCACTCGACCCTCTAGCCCTGGATAAAGACCGCGCGGCGTCCACACAGCTCCCCACGGCGCCGCAGGAGCTCTGGGGCGACCAGGAGCCCCTCTCCAAGGTCAGAATGGCGGGGGAGCCCGCGTCCTGAGTCCATCCCTCCACCCCAGCCCTCTCCCGTCTGTGGCACCCAGAAGTGGCTGCGGCGGGCCCAGGTGGAGCAGACGCCGAGTACCCGCGCTTGCACTCTGCTCGCCAGTGAAACGAGGACTTGTCTGGGGCCGCCAGACTCGCCCGTGGTCCCAGGGTTGGCCTTGCTGCGGCCACCTACCTCAGATCCCCTACGCCCCCTGGCGGCCAAGCCATTGGGAGGGTCGCGGCGTCCCCACTTCGCCAAGACTTTCGGAGGCCAGTACCTTTTCACCCCCTACATTTCCATGGGCCTGCCTGTCCCCAAGTCCCCTTACCGTGCATTCACTACCTGTGCATCCTGCGCCCCGGAAGCAGAATCCTGAGCTTTTGCCCATGTCCCGTGCTCGCACCTTCCAACACCCCCAAAGCCAGCACCCCCTCCTCTGAGTCAATGCCCCCAAAACGTGGCCATGGGAGAAGGGAGAGAAGGGGCTGTTTGTTTTCAGGATAGCTCTACCTTTTTATTTTCTGCCTTATGAGTAATAATTCAGATTCCGTACAATCCCACTACATAAGGTGCGCAACTTGGTAGTTTTTATTGCGCTCACAGACTTGTGTACTGTCACCATAATCATAATCTCAGAATGTTTTCATCACCCAAAAAGACACCTGGTACCTATTAGCAGTCACTCCCACCCATCCCACCAGCTCTAGGCAGCCACCAATCTGCTTTCTGTCTCCACACATTTGTCTGTTCTAGACCTTTCTTAGTAAGAGAATCAGGTGATGATATGTGGGGTTTTTTGGGTTTTTTTTTCTTTTGCAGAGCCAAGGATTGAACTTCAGGCCCTTGTGCTTGCCAGGCAAGCGTTTATCCAACTGAACTATCTCCCCCGCCCATGTGGGCTTTTGTGATTGGCTTCTTTTCCTTAGCACACTTTCTTTCTTTTCTTTTCTTTTCTTTTCTCTTTCTTTCTTTCTTTTTTTCTTTTTCTTTTTTTTTTTTTGTGTGTGTGTGTGTGTATTTTAGGGAAGGGTCTACAGGGTGTTCCGGGTCTCTCTACTAGATCGGACTCGTAGATCCGCCCGTGTACCGCCTGTGATCCCAAGAGCTGGGATTACACTGCATGCCACCATGCCCAGTCTCAGTTACTGTCTCAGCGCGCCCTGGGGCTGGGGCCAGCAGGGCAGGCCCAGGGATTGAACCCCTGGCCCCGTGCCTGCTTGCAGGCGCTTTAATCCGCTGAGCTATTTGTCCAGCCCCTTAGCACAATATTTCAAGGTTCATCTATGCTGAAGCACAGGTCAGTACTTTATTCCTTTTTATTTCCAAATAATATTCCATTGTGTGCCTATCACACATTCTCTGTATTCGTTTATCATTGATGGGCTTCTGCTTGTTTCTACTTAATGAATGATGCTACCACCAACATTCTGCACATATCTAAGATTTTTGTGGATATTCTCATTTCTGTGGGGTGCACACCCAGGTGTGAAATTATTAGGTCATATTTTAATGTTTGGAAGAACTGCCACACGGCCTTTCAGAGTGACTGTACAGTTTTACACTGCCACCAAGCCATATGTGGCAGTTCCGTTTTCCACACCCTCGTCAGTACTTATTACCATAGCTACCCTAACAGATATGGCACGGAATCTCACTGTGGCTTCCTCTGGTATTCCCTCAGTGGCTAATGATGTCCCGAATCTCTTCATGTGCTGTCAGCTGTCTGCATGTGTCTTAATTTTCTCATTGCTGAGACAAAATACCCAACACCTGAAAGTTAAAGGAGGAAAGGGTTATTTTCACTCACAGTTGTAGAGATTTAAGTCCACACTCGGCTGGCTCCGAGGCAGGGCAGCATGGCAGAGGGGAGAGAGCTCACACAGCCATAATCCAGCCACTCCTAAAAGCCCCACCTAGGAGCACGGAAGGCTGTGTGGCGGCGACAGCGAGATGGAAGCCACAGCAGGATATCTTTGGAGAAAAGCCTGTTTAGATCATTTGCCCATTTTTAAAGGATTTTTTTTTAATTTTTTTTTATTTTAACATTGTGTGTGTGTGTGTGTGTGTGTGTGTGTGTGTGTGTGTGTGTGTGGCCAGCTCAGCCCACCAGGGGGCGCGGCTGGCTGGCATGTGGTGCTGGAGGATTGAACCGCGGTCCCTATGCTTTGCCAAGCTTGTTCCAAGTAGGTGCTTTAGACCACTGAGCCATCTCTCCAGCCCCAAGGATTTTTTTTATTATATATTTTTTTCATTTGTGTATTTGATACAGGGTCTCACTATGCAGATCGGACTCGCGGTGATGCTCTTGTTTTCAGCCTCCCAGTGCTGGGATTACAGGCATGCGCCACCGTGCCGGGACTCGGTCGCTGGCTCAGTGCACCCCCAGGGTGGGGCCAGCATGGCATGAGGGCCCAGGGATCAAATCCTGGTCCCAGTGCTTTCCAAAGCAGGCACTTAGTCTGCTGAGCTATCTCGCTGGCCCAGCATTTGCCCATTTTTTAAATTGAGTTTTGTTGCTGACCTGTAAATATTCTTTCTATATTTGAGCTACAAGTCTATTATCACATACATGATTTGGAAAAATGTCTTCCATTAAGTGGTTTATCTTACTTTTTTCATGAGAGGCAGTGAAGCACACATGTTTTTGTTTTGTTAATGTCTAGTTTATCTGTTTTTGTTGCTGTCACTTGCACTTTTGGTGAAACCAAGCCCAATGTAGAATAGATTTATACCTATGTATTATAAAGTATCATAGTTTTAACACTTACATTTAAGTCTTTGATCTAGTTGGATTTTTTTTCTTGTGCTGTGGTACTGGGAATTGAACCCAGAGTCTTGTGCACACTAGGTAAGTGTCCTACCACATTCCCCAGGTGTTTTTTGTTGTTGTTGTTATTGTTTGTTGTTTGTTTTTTCTTTGCAGTACTGGGGATTGAATTCAGGAGCATTCTACCACTGAACTCAATCTTTTTTTTTTTTTTTTTTTTTTTTTTTTTTTTTTTTTTTTTTTTTTTTTTTCAGAACCGGGGATTGAACTCAGGCCCTTGTGCTTGCCAGGCAAGCGCTCAATCTTTATTTTATTTATTTATTTATTTACTTATTTAGAGATAGGGTGTCTCTGTGTCTTTAAGTGGCCCAGCCTGCCCTTGAACTTGTGATTCTCCCCCTCAACTTCCCATCTAGCTGTGATTAGATATGTGCCACCATTCCTGACTTGGGGTTTATCTTTATACATGGTGCGCAGTGAGAGTCCAGCCATTTGCTTGCATATGGATAGCCAGTTTTCCAAGACAGTTTGTTTAATTAATTCATTAATTAATTTTTATTTATTTGGTACAAGGTCTTGCTACACAGCTCAGACTTATAGTGATTCTCCTGTCTCAGCCTCCTCAACTCTGGGATTACAAGTGTGTGCCACCACGCCCAGTCCTGATGGCCAGCTTGGCACAGGGCTGGAATGGCGTATGGTACCGGGGATCCAACTCGAGTCCTTGCACTTACCAGGCAGGTGCTTAGACCGCCAAGCTATCTCATCAGCCAACAATCTCTTTAAAAGAAAAGCTATTGTCTCCCTATTTAATTGCCCTGGAACTCTCATTATAAAAAATCAGTTGAGGGCCAGCCAAATAGCTCAGCAGATTAAAGCAAGTGCCTGCAAGCAGGCACAGCAGCTGGGGACTCGATCCCCCAGCCTGCCGTGCCAGCCCTGCCCCCAGGGCACACTGAGACAGCAATTGAGATGGCATGGTGGTGACCACCTGTAATCCCAGCTCTTGGGAGGCTGCGAACAGGCGGATCACTACAAGTCCGATCCAGTAGTGCGATCCTGAACACCCTGTAGACCATTCCCTAAAATACTAAAAAAAAAAAAAGAAAAGAAAAAAATCAGTTGACTATAAATATAAGTGTTCCTTTCAGGATTAATTATATTTCATTGAGTCATAGTTCTATTTATAGGTCAGTATTACACTGTCTTAATTAGTTGCTTGATAGGACACTTCTAAAACAGGACATTTGACTCCTCTATCTTTTCTTTTCTTTTTTAAGACTGATTTGGGCTTTCTTGAATTTCCATGCAATTGTCCTGTCAGTTCTACAAAGGAATCAGCTTGGCACTTGAGGCGGTGTTGAATCTATGCACCATTTTGGAGAGTACTGTCACCTAAACAATACTATGGCTGTCTATCTATGAATAGGGAGTGTTTTTCCATTTAGTCAGGTCTGCTTTAATATCTTTCAACAATATTTTGAATTTTCAGAAGGAAGTTTTATACTTGCTTTGTTCAATTAATTCTTACACGTTTTCTTTGGATACTTTTGTAAATGGATTTTTTTTTTTCTTAATCTTTTTTTCAGGTACTCATGGCAAGTGTTTAGAAATATGGTGGGGTTTTGTATAGGGACCTTGTTTCCTGCAAGCTCGTTGAGCTTGTTTACTCTGTCCTCTCTTTCAGATCCCATTTAAAATTCTGAGAGGGCATGAGCACGTCGTGAGTTCCTGCCACTTCTGTGTGAATGACACGAAGCTCCTCAGTGGCTCCCATGATTGTATGTGAAGCTGTGGGTAGGCGGCTTGCTGTTAGTTCCTCCTGGAAAGCTTACGCATCCGTTGTGGAGAGTTCTCCAGTACTGAGTTCCCTGACAATCAAGGAACTCAAGCCTATAAAAGCCCGAACAAAGTGTAAGGAGGAGGAGCCCACCCTAGTGTCAGGCCATTAGTGAGAAGTCAGTGTAGCTGTAGCCTGTCTGTGGATCTGAACACAGTAGGAGCAGGGGATGAAGGCCATTAAGCTGAGAGCCCCCCAACTATTTTGGGGAGGTCCTTGTTGTATCTGGGTTATACCTGGAGTCTCTGAGTCCCTTCTCTTGGTCTCCTCATTTGCAAAACTCAATTCCAGGGCTGGGAGATGGCTCAGTAGAATAAGCATTTGCCTGGCAAGTGCAAGAGCCTGAGTTCAATCCCCGGTTCCCCACCACCACCCCCGTACAAAAAAAACAAAACAAAAAAAAAAAAAAAAAAAAAAAAAAACCTCAATTTCATCCACAAAGACTATTGCCAGACCTAGGGATCATAGAGGACAGAAAAGTGGCCAAGCTGGGACTTGTCCACAAGGGGCAGTTGAGAAAGGCAGGCCGGAGTATGGATCAGTACCCTGAGGTGCAGGAAGCAGGAGCACAAGTAATGGAGATGTGACATTCAGAAAAGTGACCATCTAGAACCCGTCAGAGCTTGTGAACATGGTCACAGACCCTGGTGAGGCTATTGGGGGCCCTGTTGGCCAATGAGGAGGGGATAAGAAGGGATTAGGGCTGGAGAATGACTGTGGTGATCAGGGGCCAGGCCAAAGATGGTGGGTGTCTGGGGCTGTGGGCCATGGAAAAGGGTAGGCAGCTCTGAGCTTTGCTAACTTCTGGCTTCAGTGACAGGAAGGAGCTAGAATGGAGTAAGTCAAAGCTGGTTCCCTGGTTCTGTTATGGGTAATTGGCCAGAGGACAGCCCCTAACTACAGGTGACCTCAGAGGAGCATCTATCACCCATGGGTGCCAAGACCCGGCTGACAATGGCAGGCTTTGGGGATTGTCCAAATTGTTCCAACCTCACTTAGGACTATCAGCTGTATGAGTCTGGTGGATACAGGAGTGAGCTCCTGGACCTCACAAGAGCCACTTCCTCACAAGACCAGCTATGTGCTAGGGCTGCCCCAGAACTTGACAAGCCCACAGAAGCCCCCCAGACCTCTCTATGCTGTACCAAGACACAGAGAAGAAAGAAAAACTCATCCCATGACCCTAGAGTTAGGTGCTGTGACAATGTTGGTCGGCATCTTTTTTAAAGTTTTTTTTCCTTCACATTCTGTAGGAATTTATTTATTTATTTATTTATTTATTTTAAATTTTATTTATTTATTTGTGTGTGTGTGTGGCCAGCTCAGCCCACCAGGGGGCGGGGCTGGCTGGCATGTGGTGCTGGGGGATTGAACCGCGGTCCCTGTGCTTTGCTAAGCTTGTTCTAAGTAGGTGCTTTAGACCACTGAGCCATCTCACCAGCCCCGGTCGGCATCTTTTTTATATACATGCACACGTACATACATTTACAAAATTGGGACCATCCAGAAATGCTGACTATGTAGATGCAGTACATTTGAACTGCACCTATTGTCATCTCCTTGGTTCTTCTAACTACTAATGAGAGCCTCTCCCTACCCATCCATGAAAACCTCACCGCTTAAACTGTCTGGCTTCCAAAATGCCAAGGGAAGAGGGAGCCGGCTTCTCTGTCCAAGGCTGCTATTCCTTGTAGACCATGCGTGTCCCTGTTGCAATCTGAACTTGCACAGCCTGTTGGACTCGGGTTCATTCTTATGCCCTTTATTGACAGAAGGTCTTACTCAAAGTACGGGGCCTCAGTCCAGGCCCCAGGTGATCACTGTCTTAGTTCAGAGTCACATATTTTTCCCTAGAGCAGCACCCCAGGCAGGGAGCGTGATCCCAGGTGGTCAGAACCAGCCTAGTCCTCCCAATCCATTAGACTCCAGAACCCCAGATACTAGCCCAGATGGTTCCTGACCTGGGAAGTGCCACTTTGGGATTACAGGATGGCGGCTCCCCTCATCCATCTTAGAGATAGAGGCAGTGTCAGCTCCCCATGACCCTGCCTGGGACGCGTCACCCCTTCCCCTTGGAATGTCTTCTTAGAGGTAGGAGGCACCTGGGCGGAGTCAACGCTCCATGACCCTGCCTGGAGTGTTTCACTCCTTCCCATCCTCGTTAAGATATTGTAAAACATCAGAGAGATAAGAAGGAAAACAGAACTAATTGCAAAGAAGGGTGTTAAACTCTTTGTCATCATAAATTCTCATGACCTGGCCTCAACCTACCATGGTAACAACCTGTAACTACTCAGGTCAATATGGGCCACATTGCATCGTGGTTGCCCTAGAAACCAAAAACAGTAAGCAGAGGTGAAACAAAGAAAGCAGCCCAGACACTTTCTGTTTTGTTAAACTGAGAAGTGGTCTAGGTAGCTAACCTAAATTAAATTAAAACTCTGCTTTGCCATATTTGTTTCTCACGAATATTATCTCGCACAGCTTCAGGGACTCTTGTTGTCCCTCCCTCCCACTGGGCTTTGAGTAGGGCCTGCCTGGATCCCTGAAGCTTAACTCCATTGTTTCAGGTCTCACAGAACAGAGGCTGGGGGCTGAGTCTGTACAGAAAAGTGCTCACAGAGCAGGCCCAGACTGCTGGCCTCAGAAAGGCAACCAGGGCCTGACTGGTAAACCGTTCCCTGTGACCAACGGCTCACTCTGCCTCAACTGTTTGCTTAAACTGTGTTCCTTCTGAAAATCTGGAATTTGGGTACACATTAGACAAAGAGCACTGTACCTGTGTGTCCAGCACTTCTCACCCCTCCCCTCCAAAAGAACAAAAAGCAAAGCCCTGGACTCAGGCTCAGCTACAATCTCCTGGTAGACAACAGCTCCTGTGTGCTGCTGTAGTGTGTGGCTGGGGAATTCAGCACTTCCGAGCCACCCCACCGGAAGAGAGGACACTGTGCCTGGACACCGTGCCTGGCATCCTCTGGACTTCTCCCTCTGCCCCTTTTCTTTGCTGGTTTGGCAGAGCCTTAGTTATGAATGTGACTGAAGAAATGGGACAGTAGTGTGGTCTTGGGGACCCCTGACACGGGGTTCTTTGCTTCCTAGAAGGTCTTGAGGGTCCTAATGCAAAGTAGCATAATAGCCAGGGGGTCCTGCCAGGCTCAAGTCTCCACACCCTTACACCATGGATTTACACAGCAACTCAAGCTCCTTCTAGTAAGTCACTGTCTCACTAGCAGCTTGCCAGCCCCTGCCCCAGCTGCTCATCCTGAAAAGCTGTTGGCGCATTCCTTACTAAACCTGCTTTCTGGCCGGGAAGATGGCTCAGTGGAATAAGCGCTTCCCTGGCAAGCACAAGGACCTGAGTTCAATCCCTGGTTCTGCAAAAAAAATATATATTAAAAATAAAAAATAAAAAAATAAATAAACCTGCCTTCTCTTTGCTGCCTTCTGCTTTCGTACCCGGCTTTGTTCCTTTACATTGTTCATCTTCAGTGTGACCATTAGCCATTGCCAGGGCCCCCTGCAGGATGCACTAATTTGTTTAACTGCTCCTCTCTAGATGGACACCTAGATTGTCGCTGGGAGGCTTTTATGTCTAAGTCTTTGACCATAAACCTGGTAGTTTCTCTAGACGCAGAACTCAGAGTAGAATTGTTGAGTTGAAGGTGTAAAACTTAAAAAATATATATTGAAAGATAGAACTACTGCGTGTCCCTGAAAACAAGACCCAACCAGAAAATAAATTTCCACTGTAACTAATAACTTATTAGCATGGTGACGGCCAGTGGCATGTGGAAGATTACACCTCACTATTCTTTGCTCCAGGGCAGGGCCACTGTGCAATGGCAGGTAAGGTAAGGACAGGCTGATTGGGGCTGGCAGGTTTTTTGTTTTGTTTTGTTCTTTTACAGAAGGGTCTACAGGGTGTTCAGGGTCTCACTACCAGATCGGACTCGGAGTGATTCTCCTGTTTTCAGCCTCTCAAGTGCTGGGATTACAGGAACCTACCACCACACCCAGTCTCAATTGCCATCTCAGTGTGCCCCGGGGGTGGGGCTGGCAGGGCAGGCCCAGGGATTGAACTCCCAGCCCCGTGCCTGCTTGCAGGCACTTTAATCCACTAAGCTATTTGGCTGGCCCATGGCTGGCAGTTTTAATCTCTAGTTAGGTCTTATTTGGGGGAAAACAGGTAGGGTGTGCACAGCCTCGTGGGCCAGTAGATCGTGGGAACATGGTGCTCGCCTCTCTGCTCCCAGATGGCCGGCGCCCATCCTCTGCTGTGGAGCTGTTGAGGAGTAACATGGGTGGCACCGTCCTTCTTCCTGCTTTGGGTGGTGTTGGAAAGGCTCCCACTTTGCGGGTGAGGGAGAAGTCGTGGGACCATGACATTTTCCATCTTGGCCTCTGTACACAGGCTCAGGGCTGCTGCTGACTTCCGCTCACAACTCTCACAGCACAGCCCTGACCACTCTCTCTGCTCTCTCCCCTTGATTTGAGGATGCTGTGGATGGATCTTTGATTCGGGATTTTGAGCAAAGGCCCAAAGCTCCTGTGTTGGAGTGCAGCATCACGGCTGACAGCAGAAGGTGACGTTTCCTTTGTTTTTACACTGCTCAGCAAAAGTGAGAGTCCACAGTGAGGCTAGTGTACTGGCACAGTGATGTTCTTTGTTTGTTTCTCTTTAAAGCAAATATATGGGGCTGGGACCCAGCTCAGTGATCTAAATGCCTGCCTGGCAAGCGCAAGAACCCAGGTTTGATACCCGGTACCACATGCCATGCCAGCTCGGAACCCAGGCGTGTCGTGCCAGCCCCCAAAACTGGGCATGGTGGTGCACACCTGTAATCCCAGCACTGGAGAGGCTCAGACAGAAGGATCACTACAAGTCTGAGCTGTGTAGGAAACCCTGTAAATAAGTAATTTTTTTTTTTTGGTGGAACTGGGGAAATAAGTAATTTTTAAAAAATAAATAAAGCAAGTGCTGGCCAAATAGCTCAGCAGATTAAAGTGCCTGCAAACAGGTGCAGGGGCTGGGGGTTCAATCCCTGAGCCTGCTGTGCCAGCCCTGCCCCCAGGCATGCTGAGATGGCAATTGAGACTGGGCTTGGTGGCGCACTCCTGTAATCCCAGCTCTTGGGAGGCTGTAAACAGGTGGATCACTACTAGTCTGATCTAGTAGTGAGATCCTGAACACCCTGTAGACCCTTCCCTAAAAAAAAAAAAAAAAAAAAGAGGCAGTTTTTAGGCAACAATATGCAAGGTACTAATTATTGAAACTGTCCTACTAACCGGTTTTGAAACTGTCTCATTGTTACCTGTTTCTCAATAAAATTAATTTTAAAAATAAATAAATAAATAAATAAAGCACTGTTTTGGTCCCAGGGTTTCCACTTCTTTTTTTCTTGTATTCGTATGTTTAGATATACATAATGATAGCATTCATCATAAGGAATTTGTACCTGTACATGGTAGATATTGCTTCTCTCTTCCTTGTGAGAATCAAGGGGATGTGACAACACTTTGCACGTTTTATGTTAAAAGAGAACATTTGTTGCAGTTAATACACAGACAATCAGGGTTTCCTTTGTGAAGTAGCTTTTCTTTTTTAAAAAAAAAAAAAATGAATTTAGGGCTGGTGAGATGGCTCAGTGGTCTAAAGCACCTACTTGGAACAAGCTTGGCAAAGCACAGGGACCGCGGTTCAATCCCCCAGCACCACATGCCAGCCAGCCCCGCCCCCTGGTGGGCTGAGCTGGACACACACACACATACACACACAAATAAATAAAATTTAAAAAATAAATAAATAAAATAAAAGTGAATTCACAAACCTTTAAAAAAAAAAAAAGCAAACAATTTTTAAAAAAAAAGAAAAGCTTTAAAAAAAATAAATAAAATGAATTTAGGGAGGCCAGGGAGATGGCTCAGTGGAATAAGCGCTTCCCTGGCTAGTGCAAGTGCCTGAGTTCACTCCCTGGTTCCGCAAAAAAAAATAAAAATAAAAATAAATAAATGAATTTAGGGCAGGGTCTACAGAGTGTACAGAGTCTCACCACACAGATGGGACTCGTAGCAATTCTCCTGTTTTCAGCCTCCCAAGTGCTGGGATCACATGCTTGCGCCACCACGGCCGCTGCCCTCTACCTAAGCAGGTACTTTAGTCCACTGAGCTATCTGGCCAACCCCATGAAGCAGCTTTCTACAGCTGCAAATAGACTGTGGCAGCTGCAAGGGGCCTGAGCTCTCAAGGCCAGGCCCTCATTTTCAGGAGAAACTGAGGCCCAGGGAAGCAGAGCAGGCCTGAGCTGTCACTGGGGAAGGCTCAGGGCCAGGAGGCAGCAGCTCCCAAGAGAAGGAGCTCGGAGCCACCTTTGCTGAAATCCACTCACACAAACAGGAAATGGGCCTTTAACAGTCAAGGGGGATTTGCTTGAAAATGGATTTGTTTTTACTCTGAGCAGCAGCTCAAAAACCAGTATACTAGGGGCCGGGGAGATGGCTCAGTAGGATAAGCGCTTGACCGGCAAACGCAAGGATCTGAGTTCAATCCCCAGTTCAAAAAAAAAAAAAAAAACCAGTATACTGGTTAAAAACTAGTATGAGATTTAAGTTTCATGGGAACTTATTTTATAACGAGAAACCAAACTTTGCCACTGAAACCTACAAGATATAGGCATACAATATGAATCTATTTTTGCTAAATGTAAAAGAAATCATTTCTGAACATCATGCACTGTCTGGAAGCATTTTCCTGTTAAAAGACAGACATGAGCAGAGGGGGAAGGAGTGTCCTTGTGAGCTGCAGAGATCTTCTTAGAAACAGCACATTTCATCAGGCTTTCACAGAGAGCAAATTGGTCAAGCAGTGGCCGTGACTCATCCTCATGGCTGACACTGATAAAGGATCTGCAACCTGCGGTACAGGGTTTCAGGATAAGTCCTGAGGGGATTTGACAGACCTTATCAGATACAAAAGTTACATTTCTTGTTAGATAGGTCTTGCTTTATTTTTTAATTTATTTATTTATTTATTTATTTAGGTCTTGCTTTATTTTGGTCTTAACCATCCAGCAGAAAAGTATAAAAATGAGGTATATAAAGTAAAGCCGGGGGCCTGGCCCTAGCTCAGGCCTTTAAGTGGCTGCTTCCACAAAGCTGTCAGCCTCAGGTTGCTGGAGTTCGAACCTCGCACCTCTCCCGCTGGCCAAAAGTGCCCTGAAGGCGTTCGAGGAACAAAAAAAAAAATCCTTAAAGTAAAGCCCTTCGATCCCTGGCACCGGTTGCTGTGCCAGCCCCGCTCTCATGCCCCCTGAGCCAGCGATGGAGTCCGGACGCGGTGGCGCGCGCCTGCAATCCCAGCCATGGGGAGGCAGAAACCAGGAGGATCACTACAAGCTACGTAGTGAGACCCTGCACACACAAAAAATAAATAAATAAAGTAAAGCCATATTAAATGGCTCAGCTGTGAAAGGCTCAAGTCAACAACTTCTGTGGATAACCCACTACCATTGTGAACGGCTGGACTGTGTTGGATTGTTTTGCTGAATTCAAGCACCTATAGTATTTAGATGCCAAGGGAATACCTATCTCTGACAGGACTAAACAAAAAAAAAGGGGGGGGGGATGCAAAGGAAGGATCATTTTGTATCTGTATATGCAGAATAATTAGGATAGATATACAGCTACCTTTGCTTAATTCAATGAGAAGAAAGATTTGTACTAATAGTGTTTAAACAGGATATCCTGTCTGCTTCTTGTACTATGGATAACCACTAAGAAGATAACAATGTACAATGTATTAATTATTGAAACTGTCCTATTAATCAGTTTTGAAACTACCTCATGGTGCCGGGGAGATGGCTCAGTGGAATAAGCGCTTCCCTGGCAAGCTCAAGAGCCTGAGTTCAATCTCCGGTTCCGTAAAAAAATAAAAAAAATTTAAAAAAAAGTTAAATCATATTAAAAAAAAAAAAAGAAAGAAAGAAACTGTCTCATTGCTATTTGTTTCTCAATAAAATTTAAAAAAAAGAAAGAAACAGCATGTTTCAGAGCAAAAGAAATGATGCTTTTAAAGTCCTAAACAGGGATGGGCATATAGCCCAGTGGCATAGTGCCTACCTGGCAAGCACAAGGTCCTGAGTTCGATTCCCAGTACCAAAAAAGTCCTAAACATAAAAGAACATGTTCAGGTGGTTGACAGAGTGAGGACAGCCCAGGCTGGGATGGCTCTGGTAGTATCAGGATATCTCTGCTTTCAGTGGAAACCCGCTGCTTACAGGAGCGCACACACACCATCTTTTGAGGGATGCTGGCATTATTTGCAAACTTGGCCCTAAATTGTAAAAAAGAAGAAATATAGTAGCCCCCTCCCTATTTTGCAGTTCGACTTTCAGGGACTCCCTGTTTTGCGGGTTTTCAAAAAATATCAATCTAAATTATTTATTGTGGATTTTTTGCTGTATCAAGAGACAGTTCTTTTTTTTTTTT